TTTTTTTTAAAAAGCCCCAAATAAGTATTTTTCTAATTTTTTATGCAAATAGAAATATCAAAAACATAAATGAAATTTGTTTTGAAACTTTTCTTTAGTCTAAAAAAAATAAAAAAAGGGCCCAAAAAGTGCAACATGGACATATTGCAAAGGAAAAAAAACTTGCGAGCCCTTTTTCTTAAATTTTCCGGGAAAAGAACGCCCATTCTAGATTACTATTTGCTAGAAAAAAGGATTGAAGCTTTCTTCCCTTCTTGATGCTTAAAATTTATTTAGTTGAAGCCCAAACTCACAGAAGATCTTCATCGGGGTCCCCTTGATCATAATACCTTTCTTTCTGGGTTAATTTTTAGGCCTTTTGTAGGCCCTATCTTCCTTCTAGTCATTTTAAACCCCTGTGCAGGGTTTAAGTACTTTCACCATGTAAAGAAACTCCAGGTCAGCTGGCCTGGAGTGAGTCATTTTCCCCCTCAAAATGCAGACAATTTGGGGGCTTCTCTTTAAAGGGGGACGACCCATAAAAAAAATTCTCATTATCGGGAAGGACAATTAAAACGTTCTGAAACCCAACCCAAAACCAATACAAATTAGTATGATTAGAAAAATTTAAAATTATAAATATTTTTTTACGAAACTGCTAATTTTTGGCCTTTGACAGGGGGGCCCGTACTTTCGGGCCTTTTTCCGGCATTTTTTCATTTGCTGGTACGCCCTTTTATGCTTCACACAACTTTTTTTATAAAATAAAAATATGTCAAAAACTTTTAATTTATGCACTAGACACAATAATCAGTACTTCCGACATTCAGAGGGTAAATCTAAGAGTATATGAATGTAACTCGGGGGGAAAAAAAAACTGCCCCCTTTGACGCTCCAAGCTAAGGTGCTTAATTTTGGTCTTCCAACCCCTGGAAAGTGAACAGACGCCATCGCCTCTTAGCTGGAGAGACTCACTCACAAAAGGCCTGTGATTAGTCCGAACTAGAAAACGGGAACCTAGATGCACAGTGGGAGTACGATGACTTTTGCATAAAACATGCATTCGTGCCCGTTTGTATACAAGCATGCCCGGTAAAGGTTTATCCCTCTATCAGGCAGGCCCCAATTTCAAGCAAATTAATTAATAATTACCCAAAAAGGATACTTTAAAATGCGTGGAAAATTTTAGGAATATTATTGGCACTGGCATAACCAGTACCAGATTAATACTATGTAAAAATGTCAATGAAAAACTGAAAACAGTGTAACAACTTTTAATACAATCTACTCCTTCCTACATGAAAGATGCTTCTAATCATTTTTCTTCTTCATCTTGCCATCACTGCCAAAGATTTTAGCAGTGATGACTCTGAAGATGCGACGCAGAATGAACAGAAGGATGATCATAGCCAGGTGGAGGAGGAAGATCACGTCCAGCATGAGGAACTCCACCCAGGAGAGCTGTGCCGCTGGTGACCTCAGCTGGGGCGCACCTCGTGACGGATGACGTACTCAGTCCAGAACACTGCCAGTTCCGTGGGTGGTACAGGCTGATCCCGCAGTGGCACTGACATCCTCAACACGTTTTCCTTATACCTGTGCACAAGTACAGTGAGAACAATATGAAAGGTCACCCACACAATTTATAAAGCGAAAGGAGAGGGAGCATAAATATTGAATGATTAGTACACAAATAACCCGCATATAGAAAAGAGGAGCTTACGACGACGTTTTGGTCCCTTGGACCATTTACAAAGTCACAATAAAGAAAAGAAAAGAAGGAGGGGTATATATAGGCAGGGGGGCGGAAATAGTATAGTAATAGTAGTAGTGGAGGTCGAAGGAAGTGGTAGAGGGGAGGTAGTAAGAGGAGGAGGAGCCAGTCAAACATTAAGAAAGAGAAGCACTGCAAGGGAGCCAGGTGCCCACAGTGGGTAAGAGCAAAAACACAGAAGGGAGGGAGAATAAATAAATAAATAATGAAGGAACAAATACACAGGGCAGAACAAAGATAACCCAAAGGAGAAAATGGAAAGAGGAAAGGGGAAAGATAGAGAAGAAAAAGGAGGAATTAGGTTAAGTCACGGGTGTTCTGAAATTTGGAGCATTTTACAATGTAGTGGGAGAGGAAGGCATCTACAGAGACGAAGCCAGGACTGAGATTCATACAAGGAAAGTTGTATATTAGGAGGATTCAACCAGACGGCGACTGTTAAAGTTGGAAGTAGGGAAGACAGTTTTAGCAGAAGACCAGTCAATAGGATGACTGTGATCTCTGACGCGACAGAAAAGAGTATTGTTAGTGTTGGCAAGCCTAACACTACTTTTGTGCTCCCTAAGTCTGTCAGAAAGAGATCGGCCAGTTTCTTCAAAGTATTGAAGAGAACAGAGAAACAAGAAATGAAGTAGACACCAGGAACATCTGTAGAGGGAGGAGAGGTATGAACGAGATTAGTGTGAAGAGTGTTAGTCTGGTGGAAAGTAAGTTTGATGTCTAAGGAACGGAGAGAGTTGTTGAGATTAGAAAGACCGGAATTGTAGGAAAGGCAGAGGACAAAGAGTTTCCCAGGAGTAGAGAGTTAGGGAGAGTAGAAATTGGGTTTAGCACGTGAGAAGCGGAGTCTATGAAATGGGGAAGGGTAGCCAAGACGGGAAAATGAATTATGAAGAGTGGAAATTTCTGATTGAAAGAACTGAGTATCACAAATGTGGAGAGCACGGAGAAAGAGGGAGATGAGAACACTTTTCTTGACAGAGGAAGCATGATGAGAAAAGTAGTGAATGTACATGCCACTGTGCATAGGTTTGCGGTAAACGGAAAAGGCAAAACCTGTATCTGAGCGGTGGACATGAACATCAAGGAAAGAAAGCAAGGAAGTAGATTCCCATTCAGCTTTAGACTTAATGGAGGGAGCAAGATTATTAAAAGGTTCAGAAATGATTGGAAGAGACTGGAGTCATGAGGCCACAGAGCAAAGATGTCATCAACATAGCGGAGCCAGAGTGAAAGACGCACATCGATAGTAGGAAGAAGAACAGTCTCGAAGTATTCCATGTAACAGATTAGCAAGGACAAGAGAGAGAGGAGAGCCCATAGCCACACCGAAGGTTTGAGAATAATATTTCCCTTGATGAAGATCAAGAACGACATCAGTAGGTATAGTTTTCCCGTCACGGTATTGTGCCTTTTTTTTGTTATTGAATGATTAGTTATGGAAAGAAAGTACAGGGTTTCCAGTGTTCGAATTTAGACTTTCGAGGGGGAGAATTAAAGTGAAATAAATAGAGAAGGTGTTGTTGTAAATATGTATACACCCGGAGCTGAGAGGAGAGTAGAGGAGTTAAGGAAGTTTGAATCAAGTGATAGAATAATTGTTTTGGGAGATCTAAATGCTAAAATGAGGAAACTGTTGAGGCTCAAATAGTGTATATGACTCAGGAAATCATAATGACATGGTTGTACACAAACCAAGGTACGGGTGAGGATTGAACTCTAGCTAAAGGGGGACTTAAGCTAGAGTTCACCACGGCCAAACTGGCAGGAGATTCATGTGTAAAAACTTGCATTTGTAGTTATAATGGTGCCTATGCTAACCTTTCTATTGTGTAGAAATATACCTAGTTGGATGAATGTTACTGTAGCCAGCTGGCCCAGCGGCTAACGCATCGGTCTGGGTTTTACGACTCACCCACCGCGAGTTCAATCCCCGCCCGTACCGTGGTTTAATAGAATAAAAGTTTAGAGTGCCAGTGGTAATGATAATTCGACACCTCTAAAAAAAAGAAAGAATTTTAGTAATACGTAATACTTTCTTTTTAGAAACAAAAAAAATAAGTGTAGGATTACTTAGAAGTTAGAGAGTAGACTTCTGGATGTGCAAGTTTTTAGAGAAGCGTTTGTTTACTAGATCATTTTTTAGGGGTACAAGGAGAATGACATTAATTGGAAAGAAGTGATAATGATTTAAATGAAGGTGTAGTGGGAGATGCAAGGAAATATTCAAAAAAGGTGGTTTATAGAGAAAGTAGATATGTGATAAATTTAAGAATGAAGTATTTATTTCTAGGGTGGATGCAGGTGGGAAGAGGGATGATGGGTGGAATGTGGAGGTAAAGAGGAGGGTAATAGTGGACAAAATTAACACATGAGAGGGTTCAAGAAAAGGGAAATCATTTAACGAGGGCAGATTTATTGCAGGGGAAGGGGGGTTAAAAAACCGTTTTTTAACGAGGTGAAATTTAAGGGGGCCAGTGGGGTTCTTTATCAGAAAAAGGGAGCCAGTTAAAGACTTAAAATATTCTCACCCAAAAATTTTGAAGTTAAAGGTAAAAAAAACCTTCAGGGGCTGTTTCGTTTTATGCCCAAACGTTTCGCCCCCCCGGGAGGGTTTATCAAGTCCCCAAAAAAAACCCTTGACAAGAAACTTGTTTAAATAGGTACAAAAATATCGACATGCTTTATGTTTTCCAGAAAAAAAAAAAAAAAGTGATTTTATTACTAGAAAAAGGAAAAAACCCATAATACCATGCGGGAAGTGTGACAAGAAATCCCACGGGGGAAAACAACACGATTTTTCCAGCTTAGATCCCCCAACCCAAAAACTTTTACAGCTGACCCAAAATGGAAAAAACCCGTGGGGACACATGCATATTGTTTTAAAAATTTCTCGAAATAAAAAGAGGTCAGGGCTGGTGTGTAATGAAGTTGTTTTTCCATGAATTTTTCTTTCCCCTTTGGGCCCCAAACTTAATTTTATCCGGCAGTTTCAACATTTTCCCCCCTTTTGGCAAATAGTATTTCTAAAACTGGACAAGCTGTTCCCTAACAACCCCAAAAAGAACAAAAAAAAGAGGAACACTGCAGAGGGCCCCTAATGTTTTATGTGCCCCTTAGGAGCTGATCATGTGTGGCAACTTCGAGAACCCTTTCATTTTGTTTGTGGGTTTTTCACAATTTAAAAAGTCAAAACCCCCTGAGTGATGGGTTTGGGGCTCCAGACAAAATTTAAGAGATATTTAAATCTTGTGAGTACATGAGTACAAGTTTCGCTCCTTTGCAAAAAATTTTCCTTTTCACTTTTTTGGGTTTTCCCTTTTTATGGCTTGGTTTAAACTGCTGCTCTATTGGACTCTTCATTTTTCTGTTCGATCTTTTGGGTTTGGGAGCTAAATTACAACCCCGGTTTTTAAAGGCCTTTAAATTTTTATCCTTAGGGGTCCTTCTTAAAAAACCCAAACCTCTCAATTTAAAATGCTTCACAAATGCGGGGCGATTATTTCTACTCTTCTTTTTATTTTTGTCCCTGGGTCCAACCATGTTTTTCCTGAAAAATGTACACAAGAGTCTTTTCCACGTCACCTTGTTTTTTTTTTAATGAAGTTAAAAATGTGAACAAAGGGTACTTGCGAGAGTATGGGATTAAAGGGTAGGGTAATGAAGCTGACACGAAGTGGGACTTATCACAATCCATTTTTTGGTATCATATTTCTTTTGGGAGATCAAGCAAAGTTGTAAAAAAAGGTGACGAAGTTTGAGGATGGTGTAAAAGAAAGCAAAGGGAATGTTTTGTGCTATCTGGAAGTGGACAAGTCGTCAGCTTGGTCTGAAAAAGATTAGGTGAACATTCAGCTGTCTGTGAGAAGAAATAAGATTATCTTTGATTTATGAAAAGTGTCAGAGTTTATGCTGATGTGTCACAGGAATACCAGAGTTTGTGGTACAATTAATTTTATATGGGCATGGAACTTTGCGCTATATCACTGCAGCAACAGTGAAGCTGTTTATATATGAGAGTAATGTGTAGTGTAAATATTACACAGAGTATTCGGTTTGGGCCTCTGAAAAAATTAAATTTAAAGGTTGGAGAGATGGCTGGACATTTTGACAGGATGGAATTTAAGGATATATGGAAGGGATGAGTACTAATTGTCCCTGGAAAGGGTGGAGAGAGAGGGTGAAGAGGTTTTAGAAGTAGAGACTTGAACATCCAGCAGTCTTATGTGACTGTGTTAGTTGAGGGGTTAAGGGAGGCAGGAGGAATTTTATGATTTGACGTATTGTCGGAGTGCGTGTAAGGTAACATTTAAGAAGTGGTTAATGGGAAAACAAAATTCGACAGACAGACTTTTATTCTACCTGTGGGAAATGACACCAACACACAAATAACCCGCACATTAAGAGAGAAGTTACGACGGACGTTTCGCGTTCCCGACCGGCCATTGACAAAGTCACACAACCAGAGGTGGAGCAGGATGACTATATATAGGCAGGAAAGAGGTGGTGGGTAGTATTACGTTTGTAGTAGTACATGAGTTGTATTTTAATACCGACAAGATGAAATTAGACCACATGCACAAACACCCGGGATCCCCATCGTAGACGTTTCGCTCATCCAGCAGCCACTGTGATGGCGAAAAACGTCCACAACAAAGGAAACCAGACGCAGCACATGGGAAATGTAGTGTCTGCACTAAGGTGTGGTGTGGATATTACAGTCGGAGGAATCTTTTTTTTTTTATTTTTTAGTGATTTTTGATATATGCTCTCTGAAAGACAGATATTGTGGGAAAGGACAGTTCACGATTATTTATTAAAGTAAATATTTTACCACGAAGTGAAATTCTTCACTTTCTAATAAAGCAGATAACTAAGAAACTAGTAATATAGTGGCCAGGAAGTCAGGTGTAGAGCCGTCAGGGTAGTAGTAGTAGTTGTGTAGTAGTAGTAGTAATAGTAGAGTAGTAGTAGTAGTAGTAGTAGTAGTTAGTAGTAGTATTAGTAGTTGTAGTAGTAGTAATATAGTAGTAGTAGTAGTCAGTAGTTAGTACTGTAGTAGTAGGCAATTGTGTGAGATGGGTTGGGTTTGAGAAGGGCTTCTTATCAACACTGTTTACAGCGGTCTCCAGAATGGGTATATATCCTCTTGATTAGCTGATTTGGAAATAATGTAATTTCCCGGACTTTTGACCGATGCTGTTATGGAACGGCATTTAAGTGCTGCCTCTATAGGAATTCTCGTCTTTAATTAAACCCACTGAACTTCATGAGGTGTTCAATATCGTTCCTGTATTAAAACACGCATTTCTACGGTCATCAGGGTTGCATGTATCAGAAAGAGTACAACTGTACTATTTGCTACTAACCCACGCGAACCTTCCACCTGACTTCTGCCATTATATACACTTGTTTCTTAGTTTTTCCTGTATTATGACGGAAGAAGTCACTCGTGGCGAAACGTTTCCTAAAATTTAAAATGTTCTGAACTGTACATATCTTTTTCCACATCTTGTCTGCATCACCATTCTCAGACTGAATAATGAAGTATTTACTCTTACTTTTAAAAATAAACTACAATTTTTAAATAAAAAAAAACAAACAAACGTGATAAGAGGAGAGAATTGAGAGTAAAAAAGTTATTACACAGCTGGAATAGCTGTATTTCCATAAAAGAATAATTATAAGCATATATTTCACATAAAATCACACTAAAGAGCTTTGGTTGATAAATCTGTAAATTTTTCACTTTAATGGGTTTAGCAGATATACTTACTTAGGGTCGTTAAGAATATTTGTAGAGCGTCAACGATCATGTCCACAGTAATTCTTCCCAATTTAAAAAGTCTCCTAGTCCAAGTTCCCTTAATAAACAGCTGTTCCTGGGTTGGTCACTGTAGATAGGTAGAGCGAGGAGTGGCGTGGCGTGGTAGATGGCTTCCTGCGTACTGAGGAGACCACCGTGTGTGATGAACACCTTCACGTTGTTGTGAGCTGTGGAACAATGTTAGTGAAAGCAACAAGAGGCATGGTAACATTGTAAATTAAAACAACGATTTTTCTGTTCATCATTGTTGATTATCAAGTTTAAGTAATACAGAAAATGGAAAAAAAACAGAGGAGGCTGAAGGCTGGTGGAGGTTTGGAGACAGCTAAGGGTAGGTCCAGAAGGTTCGATAATGCACTTGGAGAGGCACACATCTACGAAAAGAAAGGCAAAGCTAAGACCCTTTTATGTGACATTGTTAATGGCATGTGTGAAATGTTTCACAGACGGATAATTAAATTTTTGGGGAAAATTAAGACCAACTTGCAGGTAAACCAAAAACTTATGCAGGTAAAGTAATAAGACTGAAGATATATCTGTAAAAAAAATTGTACAAATTGTACATAAATGAATGTTTATAAAAATGAGAGTATTTTATGATCTTACTAATATTGATCTTGGTCATAGTTTTTGAGCGAGTGTGGGAAAAAAATGTGTGTTAATTCATCTTAATCTTTATTCGAGTTAGCTTTGATTTTTGTAATCATGGGAATCATATACGCGTATAATGCGTCCAGCATGTACTTATTGTAACAATGTTCATATTACAGACGGCGTTATCACTTATGAGACGCCCCCAGATGAACTCTCCAGAACATGCTTGAGCAGCATACGTTGCAACATTGCAGAACCCATTCTCCTTTACGAGCCAGACGCGGATCATCGCAGGATTAAGACCCATGCCAGGGCCCCTGTCTTGGCGCACATTAATATACATTATCTCTGTGCTAGGACTGAAGAAGCCATTCGTGACGAAACATTTCCTTTAATAAATGTTCTGAACTGTAAAAGTGTTTTTTTCTATCTTGTCGGCTTCACAATACCATTTTTTTCCAGTAACAGAAGAGCCAATAGAAATTAAAGTACTTTTTTTAAGTAAGAAGCATAAACTAATAAAAAATACAAATAATGTACAGCGACTGTGACTGAGGCCATTATGCAAGCTAAGACTCACCAAAAATATCCTGGCTGGGGAAGCCACTTGCTGATCATCACGTTGTCAGGGACGTCCCCAGCTCCTCCCCCGTATTTCCAGATGACTCGCTGGGCAGCCTGCGGAAAGCCTG